AGTGTGTGTGTGTGTGTGTGTGTGTGTGTGTGTGTGTGTGTGTGTGTGTGTGTGTGTGTGTGTGTGTGTGTGTGTGTGTGTGTGTAAAATTTGTAGTGTAATTATTGTTTGTATTTCAGTAGTAATTAGAGACCTCAACTGGGCCTAGGCACAGTCCCCGCAATTTCACTTGAACACAGAAATCTTCTACCCTTCCTGACCTAAACTCTTATATTGTGCCATCCTGTGTGCAGTGGGGAGGCCCCTCCCACAGATCCTTTCTTTCAGACGGGGAGAATTCAGGTTTGGGAGGGCGGTTTCAAACAGTTTGGGAGGGAGCTAATTAGCTATTGCAGTTAGCCAGCTTGATAGCCAATAGGAAATTCCCGTTGACTGTGAGAGTTAATTGGCTATGGAGTAGAAATCCCTATTCTGAAATGAAGCCAGTCCCTTCCACTGTGCCTCGTTCGTATTCTCCAGTCCTGAAATCCTTTCAGCCAGCTCCTCAGAGGTGTTTAGGTGCGTAACTCCGATTGAAATCAATGGGAGTTATGCTCCTTTCTGTGGTTTTATGTGTCATTATAAAAGGGCGGCCTGCTCTGGGTTCAGCCCACCCTATTTACTAAGGAATAGAATATCAGGGTTGGAAGAGACCTCAGGAGGTCATCTAGTCCAACCCCCTGCTCAAAGCAGAACCTACCCCAACTAAATCATCCCAGCCAGGGCTCTGTCAAGCTGGGCCTTAAAAACCTCTAAGGATGGAAATTCCACCACTCCCTAGGTAACCCATTCCAGTGCTTCACCACCCTCCTAGTGAAATAGTGTTTCCTAATATAACCTACACCCCCCACACACACTGCAACTTGAGACCATTGCTCTTTGTTCTGTCATCTGCCACCACTGAGAACAGTCTAGATCCATCCCCTTTGGAACCCTCCCCTTTCAGGTAGTTGAAGGCTGCTATCAAATCCCCCCTCACTCTTCTCTTCTGCAGACTAAATAAGACCAGTTCCCGCAGTCTCTACTCATAAATCATGTGCCCCATGATACTGGCTGCCAACTACACATCAAGCCATTGATCACTACACGTTGATCCCAATGATCTAGCCAGCTTTCTATCCATCTTATAGTCCATTCATCCAATCCATACTTCTTTAACTTGCTGGCAAGAATACTGTGGGAGACCATCTCAAAAGCTTTGCTAAAGTCAAGATATATCACATCCACCGCTTTCCCCATATTCACAGAGCCAGTTATCTCATCATAGAAGGCAATCAGGTTGGTCAGGCATGACTTGCCCTTGGTGAATCCATGCTGACTGTTCCTGATCACTTTCCTCTCCTCTAAGTGCTTCAAAAGGAAGCAGACCCGAGCAGAGATCAGCTCAGTCTCCTATACAGAGTAACAGGAAGCTGCCCAGGAGGGATTTTCAGGGATACTAGCGTGGAGTAGAGAGGCTGCTGGGGAGCGAGTAGTCTCCAGCAGAGAAGTCTGGAGCATAGGGAGTGAGGCTACAGGCAGGAAAGGTCTGGGAGTGACATAGTAAGGCCAGGCCAAACAAAGGTGTAGACGGAGGGACTTGAGAATTTTATCCTGAATGTTTGTTAATTCAATAGACCAGAGTCTGAGAAGGGCTGTGAATGGACAAAAGGGTTAGTGGGCTCTTGAAGAAGTCCCTAGAAGGGAGAAACTGAGGCAGGAGGATGCAGACAGGGCCACCCCTAGATACAAGAGGGCACATGGGAGGCAGCCTGCCCTACAACTGTTGCCCTCCCTTTGCATGTCTTCTGCCTGTGATCTGTGTGTGCTTTTGCTTTTGGTCTCTTAAGCTGTGCTCATGTTGCAGCCTTGGAGACAGCAGGGGAAAAGAAGAGGAGCAGAGCTGAGCAATTAAACCCTTTCCTTCTCACCCCCCTTTTCTCTCCCCCCGCCCCCCAAGCCACTCTGATTGCTGACTTCTCATGAAAGGGAGGAGGGAGGAGCCAAAGATCTGGCTCCACCCCTATTCAGTTCTCTAGGCCTTCTGGTCTTGTTTTTTACTGGTGCAACCATGTCCATTAAGGGTGTGATTTTTTCCTTTTTTGCAATATTAGTTTTACCAGAACCCCGAGTCTGGGATTCTTATTATTATACTGGAATAAGCACATTTAAAACTAAAACTGTATCCACACATGGGAGGGTTGTACTGTTTTAACTCTATCCGAATATCACCTTGTGTGTAGACAGGCTTTAGCCAGTACTGTGTATGGCACTAGACCGGACCCTAGTTCTGAGCCTCAGAAGTGCTCTCCTGACAGACAGGCTCCAGGACCACACAGAAGTAAACAAGCCAGCTCGGCCCTGCAGGCTGCGTTGGAAAGGGGTGACTTTTTCCCAGAGGTATAGGTGTTGTAATTCAAGTCTCCTCTGTGAGTCTGTGGGAAGGAGAGTTTCTATTAACACTGCATTAGCAGGGTAGGTGATCATGGGCTCAATCCTGCAAAGTTTGGAGCCCCTCCCATCTCCCTTGCCCTCAACAGGAACTGTGGGCACTCAGCACTTCTTGGGAGGCTCACCGGCTTGTCTGATAACGGCATGCTGTTCCTAGCACTAAACCCTGGCTACTGTGGGGGAGAATGTCCTTCGTAGAGTTCTCCACATAGCTATCACCCTGCCAATGAGCTCTTTCAAGTGGGATCTGGCAGAGCTGGTCTGCCGTATGATGGAATGTGCGAACTCCTGTTGCAGCCTGGAGAAATTTCCAGGGGAGTTAAGGTAGGCAGAATTCAACACTCATTCTGGAACCTGGCTAAGACACTACGGCTAATGCCCATTCTCATATAAAAAGTACCCTGGAATTGTTAATGGCCACACGTGGACAGGATGCTGTTTTGTATCTCATCTAAAACATGGTTCACTTTGACTGAGGTCAGAATTTGGCCCTTAGCTATCAATCCGCGGCTGTTGTTTATCTATGCATTATTCCTGGAAAGTCTGCATGCCCTGATAATTGCCTTTTTTCTATAGGAAATGGTCCTCAGCAAGGTTCTCATGTTAAAGGCTTTTCTGATGTCCAAGGGCCTCAAATCTATGCTGTTCTGGAAAGTGACTGTAAAAACTTGAAAGGTTTCAGAGTAGCAGCCGTGTTAGTCTGTATCCGCAAAAAGAAGAACAGGAGGACTTGTGGCACCTTAGAGACTAACAAATTTATTAGAGCATAAGCTTTCGTGGCCTACCGCCCACCTCCTC